CCGGCGAGCGCGGGCAGGGCGGCCTGCCGTCCGCGGCGCGCGCGCGCGATCGGTCTTGGCGCCCTGCGCGGGGCGGGGGGAGGGGGAGGGGGAGGAGGAGGAGGAGGAGGAGGAGGAGGAGGAGGAGGAGGAGGAGGAGGAGGAGGAGGAGGGGAGGGAGGAGAGAGGAGGAGGAGGAGGAGGAGGAGGAGGAGGGAGGGAAGGGGATGATGATGATGATGATGATGATGATGATGATGATGATGATGATGGTGGTGGTGGTGGTGGTGGTGGTGGTGGTGGTGGTGATGATGATGATGATGTTGTTGATGATGATGATGATGATGATGAGGATGCTGATGCTGATGCTGATGATGCTGCTGATGCTGAGGAGGATGATGCTGATGATGATGATTATGAGGAGAAGGAGTAGGACGAGGAAGAGGTGGAGGAGGAGGAGGAGGAGGGAGGGAAAGGGATGCTGATGATGGTGATGATGATACTGATGATGTTGACAATGGTGATGATGAAGAGGAGGAGGAGGAGGAGAGGAGAAACGGGTGATGACGATGCTGATGATGATGCTGATGATGATGATGATGATGATGATGATGATGCTGATCATGATGATGGTGTTGATGATGATACCGATGCTGCTGCTGATGATTGAGATGATGATACTGAAACTGATGTTAATGTTGATGATGCTGATGCTGATGATGCTGATGCTGATGATGATGATGCTGATGCTGATGCTGATTATGACGATGATGAGAATGAGTATTAGGATGATGTTGCTGATGATGATGCTGATGATGATGATGCTGATGATGATGATGATGACGAGGAGGAGGAGGACGAGGAGGGGGGGAAGGGGATGATGATGATGATGCTGATGATGCTGCTGCTGCAGCTTCTGATGATGATGCTGATGATGATGATGAGAGGAGGAGGAGGAGGAGGAGGAGGAGGGGGAGGAGGAGGAGGAGGAGGAGGAGGAGGAGGAGGAGGAGGAGGGGGGGAAGGGGATGATGATGATGATGATGATGCTGCTGATGATGCTGATGATGCTGATGCTGATGCTGATTATGTTGCTGATGACGATGATCATGCTGATGATGCTGCTGCTGATGCTGATGATGATGAGGAGGAGGAGGTGGAGACGGAGGAGGCGGAGGGGGGGTAAGGGGATGATGACGATGCTGCTGCTGATGATGATGGTGCTGCTGCTGCTGATGATGATGATGCTCATGCTGATGACGATGATGATGATGATGATGATGATAATGATGATGATGGTGATGGTGATGATGCTGCTGATGCTGAGGATGATGATGCTGATGCTGATGCTGATGGTGATGATGATGATGCTGATTATGATGATGATGACGATGATAATGCTGATGATGCTGATGGTGATGATGCTGCTGCTGATGATGATGATGCTGATGCTGATGCTGATGGTGATGAGGATGCTGATCATGATGATGATGATGATGACGATGATGATGATGATGATGATGAGGATGATGATGATGATGATGATGATGCTGCTGCTGATGATGATGATGCTGATGACGATCATGATGATGATGATGATGATGATGATGATGATGATGATGATGATGATGATGATGACTAGGCGGAGAAGAAGGAGGAGGAGGCGGGGGAGGAGAAGGGATAGGAGGAGGACAGCCGCTTTTCTTTCCCCCTGGCACCCACTCATCCCTCGGGCCCTTCCTGCTTCGCCTTCTTCACCTCCTTCTCTTCGCCCCCTCCTTGTCGTTGTTCTCCTTCCCCCCTTTTGCCTTCGCCTCCGCCTCCTCCTCGTTCTCCCCTCTCTCCCAATGTCTCTCGCTTCTCGCCCTCCCTTCTGCTCCACCTCCACTCCAACCTTCTCTTCCTTCCCTTTCTCTGGCGTAGTTCCCCTTTATTCCCACGCATCCTGTGGAGGAGAAGGAGGGTGAGGAGCATGATGAGGTTGAGGAGGGAGGAGGGGAGAAGAAAGAGGAGGAGGAGGAAGAGGAGGAGGAGGAGAGGGAGGACCAGAGTAAATCCAAGATGCATCAGCGATGCTACAATCCGCTCCGCCGCAGGCCCCCTACTCATACGTCCATACGAGGTCTCTCTTTAATCATACTAAGCACTCCTTGACATACACGCACCATCTGGGCCTGCCATTTTGGTGAGGGCCCCTCTGTGAACATTAATTGCCTGGCATCTTTCTGGCGCGTGGTCAGGAAGGCGAACGTCAATAATCATACTGCACAGCGAGGTGTCATGCGAGATCCCCCCTCCGTAAAAAGGACCGCCTCTCATTCAAACTAAAGGACATCGCAAGCTGCAATCCCATTTAAAAAAGAACCGTCCTCCTCCATCCTTATAACTCTTGCAAGCTCTTAACCCATAGGTGAAGGTGTGCGACGCTGGGGCGAGAACCGTTTTTTTTGAGAACGCCCTTTTGCCATGTCTGAGCGGCCGCGTGTTTTTCTTACAGCGACTGCGCGTGGCCCTGAGGCGAGAGCACACCTTTGAAAACGACTCGCCTTCCACCCCTGAAGCTGTCAAATCTTTTCCTAGGAGCTTGCGGAGCGCCCGGGCGAGGGCCCCCCCTTTGAAGCTGCCTGCTTCTGTGCCTGAAGCGTCAAAGCGAATGTACGCGGCGCGAAAATGGTCCTCCTCCTCCTCCTCCTCCTCCCCCTCCTCCTCCTCCTCCTCCTCCTCCTCCTCCTCCTCCTCCTCCTCCTCGAAAATGAGAGTCGTGTGTTGAAGGAGCCGCCCTCCATCCTGGAAGCAGCTGCAGCGCTCGACACGACCGTGCGCGGCGCTGCAGCAAGAACCCACTTCGACCCCCCCCCCCCTCCATCCTTGAAGCTGTTGCAATATTTGAAGTCGAATGTTGAAAGGAGCCACCCTCCACCATTGATGCTGTGGCACAGTTGAAGCTCCAGGGTCATTCGTGGGGGGGGGGGGTCTCAGACGACAAGGCCGCCCCCTCTTCCGACACGTCTGGAGGCGCGGCAGCGAGGAGGTAGTTCCAAGGAAAAGGGGTGGTGGAGGGGCCCAGGGGCCCCTTGCCCCTCTCCCCTCCTCTCTCCTCGCCGCCGCCGCCGCCCCCTCTCCCCATCCCTCCCCTCCCCGCTACCCCTTCCGCCTCCCCCTTTTCGTCCCTTTCCCTCCCCTCCCCCCGCTCCCCCTCCCTCCCTTTTCACTGCTCTGGCTCTTTCCTCCACTGGCGCGTTCGCTGTCGGCGACGTCTCGTGTGGCGGAGGGCAGGTGGAGGGATGAGGCGGAGAAGGAGGAGGAGGAGGCGGGCAGGAGGCAAGAGGATGACGATGACGGTGATGATGATGATCGTGTGGCAGATGTTGATGATGACGTTGATGATGCTGATGATGCTGATGATGCTGACGCTGATGCTGATGACGATGCTGATGCTGCTGATGATGCTGATGACGATGGTGATGCTGATGCTGAGGCTGATGATGCTGATCATGTTGTTGATGCTGATGCTGATGCTGATGCTGCTGATGATGCTGACGGTAAGACTGATGATGATGACGAGGATGATGAGGATGAGGATTAGGACGAGGATTAGGATGATGATGAGGATGATGATGATGATGAGGAGGAAGACAAGGCGCAGGAGGAGGAGGAGGAACAGGAAGAGGGAGTAGGCGGGAGGACGGGAGAGTTGTGGCAGAAAGAGGTGGGAGGATATTGAGGAGGAGGAGGAGGAGGAGATGGAGGGGATGGAAGACGAGATGGGAAGTGGCAGGAGGAAGATAAGGATGCCGAGGAGGATTATGAGGATGAGGGAGGAGGAGGAGGTGTAGGAGGAGGAGGAGGAATAGGAGGAGGAGGAGGAAGAGGAGGAGAATGAGGGGGAGGAGGAGGAGGAGGAGGAGGAGGAGGAGGAGGAGGATAATAAGTAGGAGCAGGAGGAGGAGGAGGAGGATCAGTGTACACCTAAGACTCATCAACGATGTTGGAATAAGCCCCCCAAACCCAAGCTCCCCTTTCATGTGCCCCTACAAGGATTCATTTCCACTGAGGGGAGTGCCACGTTGGGAGAGCCGCTGGAAGATCCCGAAGCGTGCCCAAACACCATTCTTGGAACTTCAGCGCCGCTAGTCAACCTTACTGTCGCGTCTTGACGATCCAGAATCGTACAAGGAAACCATTCGTGGGACTTAACACCACGAATCAACGTAACTGTTGCGCCCTGACAGTCGCGAGTCGCTCCAACAGATAGTTTATCCGTGACGCTCTTGCAATATTTTCAAGCGAAAGTGCGCGGTGCTGAGGCGAGAATCACATTTTGGAAAGGAACCGCTCTCAATCCGTGCAACGCTTGAACTTTTTAAATCGAGTGAATGAGCGCGGCGCTGAGGCGAGAGCCGCATTTTGAAAACCACCCGCCCTCAATTCGTGAAACGTTTGCACATTTTTAAAACAAATGTGTTCGGCGCTAAGGCGAGAGCCACATTTTGAAAACGAGCCGCCCTCAATGCGTGAAGCTCTTGCACATTTTGGAGGCGAATGTGCCGTATTCTTCGCCTTTTGGTTCCTCTCTTCTCCTCATCCTCTTGGATTGCTTGCCCTGGCAATAATCGTCACAGGTAGCTATTTTTTGCGTCTGTCTGTCCAGGGGGGGCAGGATTTGTCCGCTCCAGCCGACGCCTACAGTAAGCAGCTTCGTAATCGTGGCGAGGCCCGACGCCGTCCTCCTTGACTGGCGTTTCGGCCACGTTCGTAGGACAGCCTTGCGACGAGCATGATGATTGCCAGCACGCTTGGCGAGGCGAGTTGTGTACGTCTATTATCGGGGTCCGCTCCCATCTCCTGCTCCTCCCCAAAAGTGAGACGAAAGTGCGCGGCGCTAAGGCCAGAGCTACATCTCGAGAGCCGCCCGCCCTCCATCTGTGGGGTCATAGATGGTGAGGAAGTCTCAGGCGAACCCCCCCGGCCCGCCCTTTCGACTGGCCTCGGGGTGCTACAGGGAGGAGGAGGAGGAGGAG